TGTCTAAAAGGGTGATAAAAAATGATCGACTTATAACTTAAAAAAGTTAAGTCAATGCTTGCAATGTATTTACAAACATCAACGGGAGAAAAAAAAAAAAGAGGAAGATCTATTCGATTATTATTATGATTATTATTGTCAATATCGGAGCGCTTTTTGAAGCTTTAGAAACTGAAATACGAGGAAATTTCGAAGAATTTTAAAAACAACAAAAAAGCTGACTGCTGTTAGGGTGCTATTTAGGTTTCGATTACTCATTATCACAAAATTTCGATTGACTTTCTCTTCTTTTTGTTGATGGATATATCGTTAGCAATTTTGTTTTAAGCTTTCAAGACTTACTAGTAAGTACTTGCATTAAACATCGGACATATGCCAAAAGTCTCGATGTTTGCGTCGTTTTCTTTGAAAGAAAGAAATGTTTAAATGTATGTTGATTTGAAAAATAACTTACGCATATACGTAATATGCTTACGGTTTAGTTTCGAATAAAGCCGGTAGCCTCAGATGCTAGTGCTTTAATTACAATAATAATAACAATTCTTTATATATTACATTATTAAGGTATTCCAAGGTTGAAAGAAATTTATGTTTTAATTGACCTCAGTTTTCTTGACTACGTCGTTCAGGACATATCTTTTATGCAACAATTTCGTATGGAATTTTCATTAGATAGATTAGACTTTTATTTCAATTAGACTTTTCTTCAATTAATGACATTTAAGTCGCTTCTAACTTTTTTAATCTTTTCTCGTTATGCGACACCTTTTGAAAATAGTCATACGATACTGGAGAAATGTAAGGCGATAGATCCATTACGTTGGCGCGCTTTTCCGATATACTATACGTTTGCGGGAAGTGGACTTAGATCGCTTTCGTAGTAATTATTAGGTGCTGACAAAAATTTGGGTCAGCGACTTTTACAGGTAAGAATGATGAAGAAATGGAAAATACCAGCGTCACATAACGATTAAATTCGATGACTTTAACCTTTCATTACTTTTGTTGTTTAATTTGAAGCAATCTGCTGCCGACGCCCATCAAATACGTTCAACAGCCTATAATGATGCTGGTGGATTTGAAAAAGTAATCACGCATTCCTCTTGATTCCTCTCTTATGGAAAGGCACTCTTCAAACTGAGTAATCAAATTATTATATGTATCGCATTCTCTGGGGTGTTAGTGGTAGAAAGGAAGGATGCCAGAAATAAAATGTGTGTTGACTCTTGAAGAATTTCTTCTCTTAAACCCTATTCTATTATTCCATTATCAGCTAACATACGAATTGGACCAGTAATTGTTTATAGCGTAAGTCCCTGGGACGAATCATGAAATTATCTAAACTATCGCAAAGTTCTTTCATTACCTATTAGATTATTAGGGTAATTTTAGTGTCGAAACAATTCTATAAACTCCTCGTATATTTTTTCTTTTCCAACACATACGTATTTGAAATTGGATGGGCATACGGACGGATAGACTTGCAATTGAAACATTAAGATGAGGAAATTCATATATTATTGATATTTCCTGGATGTGCGTTGAAAAAGTAAGCAAGACGAGCTTCAGTTTAATGAAGTGTATATAACTTTAGTCTCTTAATCGCTTTCATAAGAATTTAGCCGACTGCAAGATTCTGGTAGCGATTATTATGCTGTGGAGGATATGAAAAGGAAAGGAATAAATTTCTTAGCTATAATGCAATGCAATAGATATTCTTCGGACTGTACATCTATCTATCTATCTATATATTAAAACAAAAATTTTGATCGCTAGTTAATTAATGTTTTTCATTACTTTTGGTGAATATATGAAGCATTTAATTAGTTCGAAAGAGAAGACATTTTTGCATCGCCATATATTGATTTCATTTCTTACTTTCGGTCTTGAAGCGATTCAATTATGCTGACCAAAATTGTTAACATATAATATGTTATGCCACGTGCAGCCTCAAGTAAATGCCGACCAAAACAAATCTTCTCACACTAACAAGGAAAGAGGCAATCATGGAAAATTGCTTTAACGTATACTCTCTTCGTATTTCCACGAATCCACGCTTATGAAAAATGAAAACTATTATGCAGAAAGATAGTGAGAAAAGAGTTTCGCACAAAGATAATAAGCCCAGCAGGCGTTTGTTTAATCCTTCGTAAGAAGTATTAAGAAATGTGTGAACGCTTACCGTCTTAATCAGCAAAGCAAAGAAAGAAAGAGATAAGGATTGTGAGCAGAGGCTTTTATTAAGAAATTTTTAAGAACACAATTTACTTAAATATTATATAAGGTTTTCTTACAAAGATGTCCGTTTCTCTTTCGCTTCCTCTCCATTTCTTTAAAGTTTCTAGTTATCTTTGCTTATCGGCATACTGTGCGATTTACAGATTTGCATAGGAATCCGTGGGGAAGAAAAGTAACTGAATCTGAGACGAAACGCTTTGAATTATTGCGAGAGCATCATTCATTGCATTATGAGTGGAGGACAAGAGCAAAATCTGAAGCGAACATTGTGAGTGCAAGTGAGAGTTTTATCGAACTCTTCCTTTTATCTCAAAACATATTATACGACCTTTGTATCATCTTCCACATGCAAATTCAACAAATAGCCACAATTTACAATCAGCCGAATAACAGTGTAACTAAATTGGCTGAAGGGCAGCTTTTTGTGAAGAACCATAGTCTGGCAAAACTGGAAAACCGTCATATGTAATAAAGATTTTATTGCATTTAGATTCTCTAGCGGGCTAATACGTTTGCTGCTCATGAATACAGTTAGACTAAGCCAGCATTAGTTTTATTATAATCGCCCAAGTTGGACTATTGTTTCCAGATTAATTCTACGGGATATGCCTTATTTCTCATAGTTAGAAACGGGCCTTCATCATTTTAAAAGGCAATCGACCAAAAGAAGAATGCTGTTGCGATCAAGTTTGATTAGCGAGGAACTATCGTTCCAAATATTCTACCTCTCTTAGTGTACCACCATATACTTTCAGTCCGTTTCGACTTATTTACTGTTCACAATAATTTACCACGAGGATGATGTGATTACCTTTTCTTCTGTGTGCATTGAACTGTATTAGTAACTAGTAAGAGATTATTTATATCATAGTCGTGTTGTCGTTTCAAAGTAATCGATTGTTGTTGTTGTTGTTGTTGTTGCCTGTTTCCCGTACATAATAGTATAATTCTTAATTAGAAGTAAGAGTTTTTGTTCTAATTTTGATTATAATTTTTAAAATGGAAATCAGGTATCATCGTTTTGCGGAGTACATGATCTGGGATGGCGGCTTCTTGAAAAACTTTACAACAGTTAGCGAACTGGCTTAGCCGACTTAAATGCTTTCATCATTCGATTTCAATCAGATGGAAAGTCCAAACCGGCTTTATAAGAAACATAATTTGGGGGGAGGGATTACCTTATGGATAAACTTTATAAATGCTTTCATATATGCTTCGATTCTCTTAGGAATATTTCAATATGATGAGATCTTCTTTTGTATGGTAATTGTTGGTAGAATCCTGTCGGTTTCTTTAAAAGTAAATTAAAGATTTTCTAATTAACAAAAATTAGCCTTCTTTCTAAGAAACAATCTCCCTACAACACGTCACCCTAAAAAACGAGGCTTCAAAAGCCGAACGAAAACCACTTCCTTTGTAAAAGCCAGCCAAGAAGAAAAAAAAAAAAATTAAAAAAAAAATTTATGATAAAATCTTTTTTACCTTTTTTTACTTTTCCCTCTAATGCCAACAGACGACATCTGACATTATGTTCGAAACGAAGAAAGAAGGACGAAAAATGCGCAAAAGCGCAGATTTTTATCAACGCATGCGAATCAGAGGCAAGTCGAAGGAATGAGAGACATTCGTGGCTAGCAACGTTATAGTACACTAGAGCTGAAGGAAGATTTCTGCTTTCACATGCAATCTTGTGCAACGAAATGTAGCCGAGCGATAAATAGGGTTCCTTTTATTTTCATTGCTCCTTGATTTCACAAATAAAGGCAATTTCCTTAAAGAGAGTATACGCTGAGAGCTATAAGAGAAGACACGAAAAAAGCAAGGAGTGAAAAAAGGGAAGGAATCTATAACACGTGTTAATGTTATCTTAAAGAGTGTTTCGATTTGTTTGCAAATGGAAATTCTTCTAAAAGGAGATTTTTGACAAAACTTCTACTTGACTACACTTGAAGAAAAAGTAAATGAAAATGTGTTCAATCTTTTCAAAAATATAGATTTCGATACGGACGAGTCCAGAAGGAAATAGCTAAGCAAACAATTAGCAACTGAAGCGTTACATAGTTTTCTTTTTCCTAAATTAATTGACTGTTTAGTTGATCAGAGCAGAGATAATCGAGCTTTACTAATCGAGGGATGAATCTATTAATCGTTCAAGTTATTAACTGCAAGCAACTCCAAGCAGCCAACGATAAAAGGAAGTGAAATGAAGTCATCGTCAGTCATGGCCAGACTGACTGGCCAGAACTCATCTATAAGAGAACTCATCGGAAAACTGTAGGAAATGTCAGAGGTTTTTTTTTTTTTTTAACAGTGTACTTATCCTCCATCAAGATTATAAGACACCACCAAAAACCGAAAGCATTCTTAAGGGTTGCTTTGTCTCAATGTCTTAACAAATATTAAGTCATCTCTGGTAAGCAACAGGATAACGGAAGCTACCTGAAGACTGGCAAAATATAGAGCACATATATCTGTAACACTCACTGAGGTAGTTACCGCAACATAGCACACATGATTATGAGATTGGCGGGCAACACACCCTTATTGCACCCAGCAAATATAGAGAGAAACAACGACTAAGCGAGAGTATGAATTATTTTGAAAAACTCAACGGATATAAATGTCAAGTAAGCGAACGGAAGCACTCAGTTTGTCAGCAAAAGCGCAAGGCAACGGAAGTTTACCTACAACTGAACTAGTATTCGGCCTTTTAGATTTTCGTTTTTTTTTTTTTTTTTTTTTTGGAATATTACGTAAATTTGCTTTCGGAAAAAAATTCGATGAAAATTGCAAAGTGATCAGAATATCAGAAAAATGTTAAAATGGTCTGTCTCTGCACAGAAATTGCTACAGGAATCTGTGAATATATCAAATGCAAGTCACACTCCTTGCCTTCGCCGAAAAACCAGGCAACAGTGCAAACGTCGTGTCACAATAGCAAATAGAGGAGACATGCCCCAATTTACTTCAACACCTATGATGCAAAGGTCACGCAATAGTCCACTGCCATTAACTCCTTTAGCGGACGTTTTCAGCATTACACCAGAGAAACCTACATCTCTAAAACTGACTCGAACTCATTCGACACGCTATGCGACTACTTTGCCGCGCTTCGAGGAAGAGTATTCGCCTAGCAACGTAGTGATGCCTAGTGGACAAGAATTAGCTTTACGCGGCTTATTATTGGATCCATTTATAGCTAAAACGCGATATTTAGCTTCACCCGATTTACGAGAAGAGCAAACAATTAAAAGCTTAGCCAGCAAGCGTGAACAGACAGACGAATTCTTAGCATTGCCCGAAGAAAAAGTTGTGGAGGAGAGTACCGATTTGAATTCCTCTAAAATGAGCGACCACACTTTGGATAGGCTAATTGACGCCATTTTGGATTCGGCTCGTAAAGATGAAAAGAAGAAAAAGTCACGTAAATCATTTAGTCTCAGAAGGCGGACTCTATTAAAAAGTCAAACTGATATTAACAGTGAAAAGTTGTCATTGTCGCCCTCGTACACCGCTGGATATGATCCAGCTAATGAGTTAAGCTTTTCAACATTGAAATCGCCAGCGGCGCATGTGTTGACTTCTTCATCTCCATCTCCATCTCCATCTCCAACTCCAGTGAAAGCTACTTTCTCCGAAAGAGTTCTCTCTCCGTTGCCTGCAAGCACTAAAAAAGCAAATCCTTTTCTTGCAGATACCCAAACGCAGCCTATACTAAAGCGTCGTAGCGAACCTTATAATCTGAGAACAAATGGTAAAAAGAGGTATAGAGTAGCCTCACCTAACTACCTCGAGATAGGAGTTGCTTTACCGTCCATATATGTGTGATTAGAATACGATGGGAAGACGAGCAGTTTTTTTAGTTTTATTATCAAGAGAATTTGTTAAACTTTTGTTGACAAACGAGGGGAAAGCATTTCCATATTACGCTTTTAGCATTTAAGTTCAGTTTCAAGTTGTTAAATAAATGTATTTAGCAAAAATTTCTTGTTTTATATATAATTTTTTTTTTTTTTTTTTTTTTTTTTCTTTTTTGCTTTTTTATAATAAAGAAAAGAAAATAAATGATTTTATTTAAGTTTTTTTTTATTAACATGGAATCAGTATTTAAAGTTAATTTACTTCAAATGATTTTATCTCAAAAATACTAATGACTAAGAATGATTTTGAGTTAATTCAATAAGCCAAGCATCGGAGAGATCCATTAGGCGTTACAGAATGCTGCATTTCAGAAGAGTCTGTTCGAGCACGTAAAGAATTCTCGAACGATATTTGTAAAACAGTTGACGCATTTTTTTTAGATCAATCTCTATGCTTAGTGCACATTACCGTATCACTCAATAAATTCATAGTATGTTATGCAGATGACGAACCCATATAATTTTTAGTACCAAAGTTCAAATTGTAAATTTATAGAACATTGGTACTATTTAAAAATGATATCGATTCATCAATACTGGCGACATCCATATGTCATCCTATGAGATTATTGAGTGTTGTATTATAACAGTATGATGCATGAACTGACAATAGAACAACATCCTAATTATATCTGAATTCGAAATTATATTAAGATTCAGTACTTGAGATGAAAACTCCCGAAACTGTCGCATCTTCATACCATATTATCGGTGATTAAATTATATCGGTTCACCGGTCATAACCACCAGGATAAAGTCTTTAAATATATGGGAATTTTCCATTACATATTTCACGCGCCATCACCTTTATCCCATTCTTATTTCTTATTATTTAGTGTCCCGTGCAATTCGAGCATATTTTTGGAACGTTACTTCCACTACGCTGTCGACTATGAGTAGTTAAGTTAAAAATTTACTGCGCTTTGTTACCCTACTCTGTATATATTATCGAGCCTACCACTTGTAACATATACCTATCATGTAGAGTCTAATTTTCAATACCATATACGAAGGCGTGATGTTATCAATCTATCTATCTACATCTGTCGGTTTTAGTGCGATCCAATTCTCCACATATAGTTTTTAGTTTTTCACTTACATACCTCAGTTCCCGGTTTTGAATACTTACTGTATAAATTGTATTGTACTTGGATTTTCAGCTGTGTGGATTCTTCCATCTTGCTTTTAAAATTTTTTACATTGATGGTATAAAAAAGTGGTTGCACATGAAGGTCACGAAAGACATTTGACCTCACTTTTTGACTTTTTTAATAAAAACTTTACCGCGAACACGAAAAGTCCATATTTTCTTAATTAGGGAAATGAAGAATTTCGACAGAAAATCAGTGAGCTGAGGTGTCAGGTGTACACTGTGGCTGTGCCTGACAAGAAAATGAGAAATAATTCAGCGAGCCGTAGGTAAAGTTAAACATTAACAAAAGTCTCGTGCCGTCATGTCCTTAAAATTTAATTTAAAAACATTTTATAGACAAAAGATGTTTAGATCGCTGTTAGGATTGAAAGCCAGGCGATAATCTATTTGACATATTACTTAAGGTAAATGCTCACAAAATCAATTAATATTTATTGTGTTTGCTACAACACCTACAGATACTCCCTACATAGCAGGTGTGTGTGCTTTGAAAAGGTTCTTTTTACTTCAGTTGTTCAATTGTTCAATTGTTCAGTTGTTCAGTGTTTCATTAATCTGGCAGTCATGCGGGTGGTTTGGAAGCCTACTATTTTTTTCTCTTTTTTTTTTTTTTTTTTTTTTTTTTTTTTTTGCCAATTTCTTGTTTTCGTTTAATTTCCATTATCTTAACCTTAACAGGTTTGTGTAGTTTTCCTTTGTGGTCTTGTGTGTGACATGAACGTTTTTCTTCTCTTATAAGGCGGTTTAAGTGCGGTTTATATTTTAAGCGATGCGGGATGTCTTCATTTATATAGAGATTATATACGAGATATAAGGGTAACAGCACGTGCTTGGTAAAAGTAAATACCCAAAGAAAACTAAAAAATTATCAAAAAAAAAAAAATTTCATAAATAATTTCTTCTATTTGTTTTTTTTCTTTTTTTTTTTTTTGGCTTTTCTTTTTTAGGTTAAGTTTAAGAAAATCGTTTAGTGTAACTTGAACGTTTAACGATTTATTTGTTAACACTTGTTTGATTATTATGGTTATTTTTCTTAAGCACAACACCGCATGACATCACTTAACATCTGATATAGCATTCTTCACTAAATCCCTTAACCCTTATATTACATATAATACATAAATTTTCTCTAACGCTCTCTTACCCTTTTCTTCAATTTTGTTTTCTATTGTTTTGTAAACATAAGAAAAATATGTTAATGTTGTTGTTTACTGTTTTCTTTGTTTAATAAACATTTTTACAGTCAATAAAATTGTTTTTTTTTTTTTTTTTTTTTTGGTTTTTTCTTTCATTATTGAGGGCATCAAGCTCTAGAATTAAAAGCTGACCATACTTTAAACATCTTTAACTTTTCAATTAATTTCTATGTTAACCCTGCTGTACTATTACGTAAAAAGTCACATATTTCGTATTCTATAAGATTAGATAGACTTCAAAACGAGAGGAGTAACGAAAGCAAAGGTCATTTCATTCAAAAACTTCGACCAATTGCATCTGCGGTACAGATTAACAACTTTTTCAACATATATTTTTTCCTTACTTACTTTAGACAACACAACACATATACTTCTGTACTGGCGTTGTTTTTTTTTTTTTTTTTTTTGTTTTCAAAAAATACTTGATGGATGTCGTATTCGCTTTGCGACAATTTTTGAATCACCAATCATGTTAAATGGATGGTTAAGCATCGGATTCGGTTTCTTGTTAGTTGCGGGGATAAGTGTACCTGACCTTTTGCAATCCATTTCTGAACATTCCGAAATGACTCTGGTAAATATTGCGTCTCTATCAGTTCCGTATGGAAATTTGGACATCAGTGGTTTTCTCTAGATTATCGGCTCGAACGATGAACATGACGTATGGAGTATCGTTAAGCATTAAGAAATAATTGCAGATTGAGTCGACATACTGCAGGATATTCGAAGGATCTGAGATATACACAAAGATCAGTGTCATTCTGAACAACGAAATGAAGAAAACGAAATTTACTATATATCTTTCTCCTCTAGTTCTTTACCAGGAAAAAACGGACGTAAAGCTGGAAAAATCTAATGATTGTTCTAAGAAGAATTTCCTCGCGGATAGCTATTTATACATGAATTTTGAGCATGGAAGGGAAAACCCCGCATTTCGTTTCATTTCGTTCTTTAATATTCGGGAAAGAAAAAAGTATGTCGCCGCATGAGTGCCAAAGCCTATAAGATAACGCATCGATCGTCGCAAAAATGTTAGTCAACCCGAACTACTTCGTTTTACGTCCATTATAAATGATACATACCTTCGAGGTCTTTTCTTTTTCTCTTACGTATAATTCTTCCTAATCATCCACCTTCTTATTTAAAGGAGATACGGTGAGTGGATTCTCATTAAAATAAAAAAGAAAAGAACAGACTTTTTCCGATATTTACATCGAATAAATCAAAGCTTTGACGGACTCAGACCGGTACTTGAACATTGAGTCGCAGCATTGATTAATCGAATGTTTCGAGACATTTGCGGAAGTTTAGGAAATCTATTTAAATTGAATGTTCGGACGCTGCACCCCAGCTGGGAATAAAGAGTTTGTCGAATATGGTTTCAGCTTGCGATTAACTTGACTAGCGATCGAACTCTATTTAATTTCACTATGAATTCATGCAAAGATATATCGAATCGAAAATCTTAAAAATAAGATATGCGCGATATGGGTGCGAATGATTCGAGTTTGTTGACTAATAAAGACGCAGCCTGCATTCTCGTTGGCTAAGAAGTTTTCGTTTTGAATCGTTTCGTTTTAACATCCAGTGCTTCAAAATCAATGGCCAGCCGATGAAGGAAAGTATGCGGATGATTAAAACGATTCGGAATTTCATCCTGATCAAAAATTTTTGCATGTAGATTGGTCCTGATGTATACGTCGTTATCTTATAACAGGAAAAGCAAATAAAATACACTCCGCATCTGTGACTGTCTGCTTACTACCGCCAATCGTAGGAGAGGTTCGGTGGTTTTCGATTTGGTATTCAGTAGGTCCTTTCATGCACATCGCTGACAGGAAGATCTTGGTATCGTTAGCATATAGCTACCAAACACTGGCCATGTTCCAAGATGGTTAAGCGCTCGTATATATACACATAAAAAAGGATTCAATTTCCGTTTGAGGGGGATTAGAAGCTCATCACGCCTCTTCGCTGTCCAGAAAAATTGGCAAACGTCAACATAATCGAACCGATATCGGGATTGCAGAGAGCAGAGCAGGTGAAGAGCAGGTTTCCACTTGCAACAGCATTAAAGCAGCTGGCGGATGTGTGATGGGAATTATTCAAACACTTTACGTATCTACTCCCCGAAGACTTGCAAGTGTTCTGTAAGCAACGGACTTTATTAAGCCCAACAATTTATTAATAGATAAGTATTTGCGTATATGTTAGATATAGAAAAATGGTTTGAAAACACTAAGACACTTAAATGTTTTACGCTAAGCGTTCTATTTTTCGGAATAAACGATTCCGATGCGAAACAGTTTAATATACGACAAAGCCGAAGCAACTTTAAATATGTAGTGATCAGTGAGTCGGATTTTATTGACATAATTATGTAAACTTATCGCACCTTTCTCTTACAGTGTATGACTAATGGTAAATGTTCAAGTTTACATAAATTTGAGAAAAACCCTAAATAAATACCGAAAAAAAAAAGATGAAGAAAAATATGTAAGTAAACAAGTCTTTGCCCACAATCTCGACACTAAAGAATTAAATATTTCGCCAAAGGAA